GAATGCCCCCGGGGCTAAAGCAGCCGAGCACGGCTCATCCATAATGCACGAACACCCGCTGCGCCCGAGGTTGTCAGGAAGGACAGCAGTTTTCAATATGAACAACAGTATTCTGGGAGGCGGATGGTTAAAAATATCCATCTTACGCCTGTGCCACTATAAATTATTGACTGCACAGGGAGTTGGAAAAAAGGATTCAGTTCCATTAAGAATTTATCTTCTAATCCAAAAGAAGATGGAATTTTATGCACTACTTATTACCAGCGCCGCAAACTGGAAAAACTAACTGCACTTCCCACTGTCTGGAACCAGAATTGCCTTTCCATTTTCGAAACAGTTTTCGAAGTTTCTTCTCGAACTTGAAACATTCCGTCAAAGCCTTCCCTCGAGAAAGCACACGGTCATTCCTGAATATTTAGTAGGCACATTAGGGATGCAGAAACCTACCTCCACAGTAAAGCCGCGCTACAGACACAGCACGACAGCTCTGAAATGAAGAGAATGACCTCCCCTCTCCGAGCCTTCTGCAAATAGGCAGGCATCGTGCTGCCAGGCAGATTTTCTTGTTTGAGAAAAAAAATTTGAGCAGCATTGAAAGATTTAGCACCAATTGCAAAGCCGCCAGATACAGATGGGTCTGTCGGGCACAACCCCGCCTGGTATGAACGCCTGAGGACGGAGGTGGTCCCGACCACAGCACAGCTCGAAAACTGCAGGGCACGACAGAACTCCATGGAGGGAGTTTTTATGATTGCTTGTACCACATTCCAAGTATTGGCTTATTTTTGGTGTTTGTGATTGCAGAAGGTACCAAACTACCGAGGAATGTATTAAAAACCAGGGGAGGCACCTTAGAGCCGAGAAGGCTCTTCAGGTCAGCATCAGCTTTGGTGTGCATTTGGGAATTAAAGGGTTTATACTATGGATATATAGAAAATATTTTAAAGCTTACCTGTAAAGAAAGCCGTCCTTGTTCCATCTGAGGAAGAACAGCAAGAGAAGAGCCATGACTACATTCCGGCCCTTCCAAGGCGGATGCACACAGAGGCAGGAGGAACGCATCCTGCCAAACCGAGCACTTTGGGTCAGGAAATGCTCCATCACATCCAATATTTGGTACAAAACCAGAGAACAAACTAATTTGTGCGTTCAGTGACAATCCCAAACCGGAGATGAATCTTTTCTGCGTCCTCCCCGAAGTTTAGGCAGGCAAAGATTGTCATGGGGAAAGAACCGAGCACTTTGCTTAGAATTCTAATTTATTATTAAATTACATATCAAAGATTTTTTTAATACATACAGAGAATGCACAACAGGCGAGAACAAGAAGAATTACAGTTACAATCAAATAAGTGTCAAGAAGCTATACGAAAAGCAAAAAAAATCAGAAAGTGCAATCAGAAAATTATTAACGAGGGTCTGGACTGGGATATTTTGTGAGAAAGGGTTTTGGTTTTTCCTCTCGAGTGTTTATTTAAACTGCTTTCCTCACTCAGTAGTAGACAGACCAACAACCGCTTACGTATTCGGCACTGAAAGCTTGACACTGGTTTCAAATATCCAGTCGAGAGGAGAGAAACAGGGCACCAAGAGGACCCGCAGATGTCACCTAGAATATGGCTCAGTTCTGCCTCAGTACGTCTCTCGCTGCCCTCGCCTGTACACCACCACTGTGCTGGAGGATTTCACAACCTGATACTAATATAAGGGGTTTCGGCATGATTTCCTCCTTCAGAAGCGATACAGCTGCTACCTCTCCTTCCTGTTTCACATGAAAGCTTTGGAAAAAACCAAAAGTAAAAATAGGAAAAGGTTATGCATCAAGTGACCTTGGGAAACAAGCTTCTGGGTTTAGAGAGTTAAAATAGTCCTGACTAAATGAGTTACAGAGTCAGAAGTGGTGGACCAGGCTTTGCTCCCTGTGTAGCAGTTTTGGGGGAGCTTCAGGAGCAGCAGCTCCTCAGAGGACGCAGCTCCGGAGCACAAGCTCTTGACAATTAATCTGAAACTTTCACATCACCTAAAAATCTACTTTTGCTCTTTCATTTTCAGCATCAGGCGAGGAACTGACTCTTCTCACAGCAATCTTAAGACTGTCCAAAAGAAAGGACACCTACAACTACAAATGAAAAATGCGAGTCAATTATTCAGTGTAATGAATCCAGCAAGAATTTATACCACTCTTAGGTATCAAAATAAAAATCCTGAAATCATTATTGGTTGATAAAAAGTGTCGTGCCTTCCCTGGAAGGGCGAACTCTCACATTGTCAGAAGCACCGCACTGCTTGGTCCCAGAGCCATACAGAGAGCAAAGCCCTGCCCTCGCCCTCCCGCGCAGGGCTGGGGACCAGAGACGGCTGTG